ACGGCATGAGGGGCTCCGGGGAGAGCCTCCGTGGACCCCCGTGGTCTCTGTCGGAGACCTCCGGGTGGTTTCTGCTTCTCGCTGTCCTGCACGGACCTGCTGGGTCAACCCCCGTGGAGGTGTCCCCCGTGGATTCTCGTGACTGTCATATGTCCGTTGTTCTGCTGAGATCGTCTCTGTATGCTGCGACTTCCCTTCCTCCAGCTCCGTCCTATCCGACCTGGAAAGAAAAACACAGGGAAAGTAATATTCCATCTTACCGGCGGCACCTTTTGCAGCCTATAGGCTGAGCAGAGGTCTCTCCACGTCATGTTTTCCACTTTGCCTACAAGTGTCCAAAGATTTGAGAGACAATATTTATCAAACAGAAATCCTTAATTACGTTTGGATGGTTTAGTGAAGTCCCCGAACTCCTTAATGGAGACTGGACTTGGAGTGCACGGCGAATGGAGCGGGCTGGGAGGGACAAGGGGAGGAGGAAGGTTCCTTTCTTCAGTCAGAAACTGGATGAAACAACCTTGAGAAAGGAGGAACGGCCGCACTCTTTCCGTGACATTCTGGAGAAGGTCATGTTCCATTTCAGCCTGAGACACAGGACTGACTCACTCTCCTTGTGTTTCTGAAAAAAAACATTCATCTGTTCTTAACTTTTTCTGTTCCTAGGGAAGAGCCTGTTTTGTACAGTGCTCTTCTAGCCACTTACCTGCTTTGTGTTTCTACAGTGACCAGGAGCGAAGGGAAAATATTAGATCATGTCGGAGTTCTGGCTAATTTCTGCCCCAGGAGATAAAACAAATCTGCAGGCATGGGAGCGAATGAACACGGTGACGTCTAAATCCAACCTGTCCAGCAACAGCAAATTCCATATTCCAGACTTAAAGGTAAACAATGAAAGGGTTTGGGTGTGAGTGATACAGCAGCATTAGCCAGGACTAAAGACTTTTGGGATAAATGTGGGATTTATTTTGGGGGATAATATGCAGAGAGTAGACGATTGCAGTCAGGGACTGAATTGTGCTCAGTCAACTGAAAATTGATCAGAGAGAAAAGAAGTCATTGTTCTTGAAGCTGACCTTCATGTTGGAAGGATATATGTATATGGAGTGAAGATGAGTGAGATGAGTTAAATAACTAATCTATTGCATTCATTTGTACCATTTGCTCCCTGTCATGAAAGTCATACAGCATTGTACATCTTGGACTGCTAATGCAAAGGGAGCGGCTAAGTATCTAGAGCCATGCCAGTAAGACCCCTGATAGACAAAAGCACATTAGTCCTTGAGAAATGAATGTATACGTATATTCAGCTACATTACCCAGCTTCATATCATCATATAAATAGGAAGAGTATTAATCCATTATTTTTTTATATTTTTGCATTATTTAGTCCTTATTTTATAAAATCTGCACCTTATTTTTATTTCGCTTGTGGCCATGAAAAATCCAAGTACACTGTATTAAAGTCAGTGGACCTACCACAGATGTAGAACTTGGTTCCTTGGGGACTTGCCATCACCCGTCACTTAACAAAGCTACTCTTAGTACATTCAAGGTCTGTCTTTAATCCAAAAAGATTGTTAACAGTTATAACTTGAGCTATCCCAATTACATAAGGATTTAAGTAAAAAGGGGAGTGTGGCCTGTTCCCAAGTAATAACCTGCTGAATTGTCACACAAATGTTTCAGACTGGGAATGTTGCTTTTTGCATGTGCACCTGAGATTGATGTGATTTTTACCATCTATGGGCCTTACCCAACTGGAGTTGGGGCGAGTCTGCTAATATCAAAGGAAATAAAGCATCTGCAGTATCTGAAGATGCAGCCAGCCCATTAGTATTCTGCTAATGGTTCTATGTACAACTTGTTTCTTCTCCTTCAGCTTGACCCTTCATAGTGTTGAGCTGGCAACATTGCACAAAAAGGTTCAGCGATATATTGCAATACCATAAGCATAGGATTATGACTGTGACAGAGAGTCATGCAAGAAGCAGATGTTGGTCTTGGAGGAAATGGCTTGGTGAGAGGCTTAGTCTTTGGTAATAGCAAAGAATGCAGACAGAAATCCCCTTTTGAGTAAGTGCTGCTTCCCTTGGTTCTCTCAGTACATCCGATTCATACATATATTATGTGCATTTCTAGTCACTATCTGATCAGGTTAAAGACTAGTCTATGCAACTTGATGATACAGGAATGAAAACAGGAAGGAAGACACTGACGTGTAGTCTTGAGACTACGCATATGTTTTTTCCTTTAATGGAAAAGGGTTTTTATGCCGTAGGTCTCGGGTAAAGGAATTGCTACTATTTTCCACCAAGTAAACAAAATTCTGCCAAACTGTTGAATTCACAAGTGCTAAACACAAGTCTCTGTCCCCAAGCCTCTGCCAACAGAAGCCTTAGACTCGTGCGTCTTTCACCTACTTCTCATCTTTTGCACAGGTGGGGACACTGGATGCTCTTGTTGGTCTGTCAGATGAGTTGGGAAAACTTGATAGCTTTGCTGAAAGGTAAAATAGATCTTATTTACTACCTACAAATGAGAAGCAGACATTGTTTTTATGGGACGATATGTCCTTGTGCTCACCTCGGTCTGACTCAGTTCAGCCCAGACTACAACTAGATTAAAGTGGATAAGCTTTGTTTAACCCTTGTGTTGATTGTCATGGAGTTGTCACAAAGAAAGGACTATTCCTTTAAATTTGGATGAATTAAGTCAGTGATAGTTTTGTCTGCCCAGCAATCTGTTTGAGTGGCAGTGCTAGGGAAGCTATTTCTCAAAGGGAAACTTCTAAAAAGGTTCTTCTTCTTTTTAAAAGAACATCATCCTGCTCCATCCAGAAACTTAAATAAAAGGGCATTTGGAGAATATGAAGCCCACCCTGATCGTATTTTCACAGAATATTTCTCTTGATCCTTCTGCCCCTTTTCAACCAGGTGTAGGAGTTCTAAGGAGTAAGTTCTTCTGAATGAAATCCGGAGCTCTTCCTCTCAGATTTTTAAACTTCTTGAAAGCCAGAATATTGACTCACATTGTATCAAACCTACTTATGCAAAGACTCACATGATTTCCTTGCTGATCATTGCCCAGATTGCCTTTTGGGCCAAACTGACCTGTGTGTACAAAGAATAATATAGTACAGCAAGCTGAGGAAATGCCAAGTTGCAAGATACTTTTTGGCACAAAGTAAACTTTGTTGTTGAGGCAATGAAAGTACAAGCTGCTGACTTTTGTTGTTGTTGTTTGGTTTTGTGGGGTTTTTTCTTTCTCTTTGCTTTGGAAGCTTACCTCACATATAGTTGTGGTCTTGGTCACAAAGGCATGTGTTAGCTCTGGGGCTTTTTGCCTTTTTCCCCCAGCCAGGATTGATAAGGATTTGTTTGTCCAAATATGCTTGATACTTTCATAGATTTTGTCTGGCAGTTGCAAACACATACAGAAATACTGATATAAACTGTTTACATCTATGCTAGGTAGTTTGGGTAAAAGTAAGTTTGCTAGAATACATTTCTCTGTAGGATTTTGTTTTTTACTTGTGCTACAGCAGGGCTGTATTAGGATGATTACATTTGATCACTCTGGGTTGTACATGACATTGATCCTCTTAGAATCATAGAATCATAGAATATCTCGAGTTGGAAGGGACCCATAAGGATCATTGAGTCCAACTCCCTGCTCCTCAGAGGACTACCTGAAGATAAACCATATTGCTTTTTCAGGATTTTTAGCAGGACAGAGCGACTTAATTCATCAAGAAAAGCTTTTCCATTGTGACCATGCCAAAAAAACCTGCCCCAAATTCTTTGTAAACATGTTCAGTCCTCTGGTTCATACTGCAGAGATTCTTCATGAAGTGAGAATGGGGGAAAATTTGGGGAGAGACAGTGCCAATACCTGCTATCTCTTCTAACGGAAGGTGTCTCTAGTCAGGGCAGCAGATAGGTAAGCAACTGTGTGATCCAGGCTTGAGGGCTGCCGAAAATCATGCAGAACTGATTTTCAGAAGGGCTTAACTAATTCCCAGCTTTGTGAAGAATTGGAACTTCCGAAAAGCCATCTGTAGGAACCATGTAAGATCACAGAGGGTAATTTTGAGTGAAATGTCGATATGAGCTCCCTAGGCTCACTGTCTCCTTTGGCTACCTTTGTCTTGACAACCTGCTACAGCTCCTTGTTCAAACGGAATGCCACTTTACTCCACTAATTGTCCCTTTAATGGGGACAATTAATGCCAGTAATGACCCTTATCATATGACATGCTATAGGCACCAGGCAAAGGGGTCAGTGAGGCCCTTCCACTGTAAGCTGCTGAGGTAAGGACTTTTCCTATTTGTCTTGTTTGCCTATCCAAATAGTTAATCAAGAAGGATCAACGAGATTTAGAAATAAGAAAAATGTGTTAAAAAATAAGAAAAATGCATTGGAGTAGGGTCATAGCAGAGAATAATCAACACAACAAGGACATACAAAAGCATTTTTACGTTAAATAAATGCCCAGGGTTTTGAGTCTAAATTGTGATTCAAGGATTAAAATGCCAAGCGCTCGCACTTCCTTGAAGTAAATGGCATCCAGAGGGTTACAAGCCTGTTCAAATGACCTGAGCATTCAGTTCCTGCTCTTCTGCAACAAAAAAAATTGATAGATAAGCACAACTGCCAGCAAAGCCAGGCAGTGCAAACCTGTCAGCGCTGCCTCCTGCCAGGACAGCAGAGAAGGGGCAAGAGTTTGCAGGATCTATTGTTTCCACATACTTTTATTATTTATTTACACCGGGAGGCAGAGTGTTTTTCCATGTCACCGCAGGGTAGCTGCTCTCTCAAGAGTCCCTTCTGGGGGCTCTCCCAGGTCCTCGGCTGGCAGAGCATTCTGCAGTGGCCCCAGATTGCAGGACTTCTGCTCCCTGCAGTGTTTTGGAGGCCTAGCTGGTAGCACCATTTAATGCACAGTATCATTTAAAGAGTGTTGGACTGTTTTTTAATTTTTTTTCTTTTGAAAGTAATGACATTGCAGCAATTTCAGAAACAGCATGTGTGAGTCTTCCAAGCCATAATAACAGGCTGTATGGAGTTACTGTCTATGGGTTTTTATTACTACTTCTCAACGCATTTTAGCTGAAACCCTCTCCTTTTGTAACACATCATTTGAGCATGGTATTTGCTCAAAGTGGGATTCATCTCACGTAAAGGCAGAGGTTTAAGGGTTGGTTGTGAATGCTGCTCGCTGTTGGATGTCACTATAGTTGATGGGGCTCCCCCGGTGCTCTGATTCCTCTTGCTTGCCTCAGTCATCAGTGGTACACAGGGTGCATGTTCTGTCTTTGCACGGGGAATATATTGGATGAGTGAATCCTGCTTCCATTTCACAGGGTGCAAGGCAAGGCACGGCACAGAGACTAAGCCAGGGCTGGAGAACGTTCCTCTGGCGCACTGTGTACATACCTTCTGGCTGTATACTGCCTGCAGGGACAGCGGGGTGTGTGGGCTGGAAGGGAGCAAAGCCTCACCGGGGCAGATAGGACTGTCGGGTGCACGGCAGCACATACCTGTCCCACCGTCTGTACCTAAGGAGAGAGCAGCGCTAACTGCTTCCCAGCTATCAGGTTAGCCCCCAGCTGCACTCAACAATAACAAAAGCAGTTCAGGTCCCTTGGAAAAGCTACTGGGTTATACGCTTTTGTGTTGGCTACTTTCTCTGTTATGCCCTTAGCCTCCTGCTATACTGTTCTTAGCAGCTGGGCTGGAGTCCTGTCTTGTTCCAAGTTCCTTTGGGCTCTCTGGGCACCGTGAAGGGGCTGCAAAACCGCTGCGTCTCCAAGCTGGAAACTGCCGAAGTGCTTGGCAAGGCGAGGCTGACGGGGAACCGCTGTGCCCATCCCTGCGCCCTCCCGGCAGCCCGAGCGTGCGGAACACGTACTCCAGCAACGCTCAGCTGGCACCCGGTCCCTAAGTGGCTGCAGCCAGATGGTGGAAAACTGCGGCATCCCTGAGGGAGCTGTGAACTAGAGAGCAGTGGTGTAGTTTCCTCCTACAGGCAATCTGAACTGCACCTGTCCAGGATCATGAGAAGAATGGTTTGGGTTGGAAGGGAACTTTAAAGATCATCCAGTCCAACCCCCTGCCATGGGCAGGGACACCTTCCACTAGGTTTCTCAAAGCCCCATCCAACCTGGCCTTCAACACTTGCAATGATGGGGCATCCACAACTTCTCTGGGCTGCTTGTTCCAGTGTCTCACCTCTCTCAGCATAAAGCATTTCTTCCTTATATCCAATCTAAATCTACCTTCTTTCAGTCTAAACTGTTGCCCCTTGTCCTGTCACTACAGGCACTGGCAAAAAGTCTCTTTCCATCTTTCTTATAAGCCCCTTTTATATATTGAAAGGCCACACAAAAAAAAAGCAGGAATTCTGACTACTGCATTCTTGGCAGCATCAGCAATCTCAGATTTTTCCTCCCTGTCACAGGACTGGAAAACCTTTGCAAAGACTGTGTACTCCAAAGACTGTGACTTTCTTCACAGGAATGGAGATCGAGGGAATCTTTCCTCTATGAATTACTTCTTTTAAATGGCCCATAAATCTGCTTTGCAGCATATCAAAGAACATCCTTTTCTCTGATGCTCTCATGGTATCTCTACCTGCCCTGAAGTCCCTTTCCTGAGCTCTTGAAAGCCACAGGGTGTCACAAGACACGTTGTCCAAACTCTGCAGGTGCCCTTTCAGTCTCCAGCTCATCTGCAGCTGTAGTAGTCTCCCCTCTGTAAGGAAAGAAAGTGAGAAGAAGCCTGCCATTATGCTCCACTCCATGTCACCACGCGAAGGATTATGTCCACTTCATGTCTCTGCCAATTTCATCACCAAGCAGTTACTTTTTAGCTGTTGCTTCTTTTACGAGGTGTAGTCAACCTGGAATAGTTAGGGAACTGAAGGCCAAATTCTGCAAATATTTCTGCATACAGAAAGATACTAGAAAAAACAGAAAGGCTCTTGGCCTGTATGAGATAGATACTTTGACTAGAGCCAGGAGGATCTACTGCTGGATGATGAATCCATTTTTTAAATAAGCAAAGAATAAGTAACTGCGGAGACAATGTTCTCCAGGAAGGGCTCTGTTTAAATCACTGCTCTGAATTGAGCAGGAGGATTTGAATCAAGTACTCCCACACCTTAAGGGAGTGTCTTGTCCACCATGCTAAAGAGAAGAAAGAGTCCCCTGAAGAGGAATAAGGAGGAAATTCTCCCTCTCAAACAAGAGAACTTTCTCATTTTCCCCAGAGTACTTTGTAAGAACCTCATCTCAGCAAGCCCTAAGGGTTTATTTAGCATCCCACGTCGCAGATTTTCAGCCAGTGTTAGCCTGTATGTAGCCTCTTGTTCCTCCACCACCTTTAGAGTTTTAAACACAGATTTCTTGCCTGCTGGTTTCTGCTATGAGTATCGTGAGTGTACAGAAGACTGCATCTTGATCTTCTGGAAGTCTAGAGCACTGGGGAGGTGATATTACCTATGGGTTTGTGGAGATGAGTGTATTTAGAAATAAGGCAATATGCCATAGGTTGTTTATCTTAATTTGGACTGAAAATTAACTTGCCTTGCTCCAGAAGTGTTTTGTTTGGGCATCTCCATGTTTATCAGATCATGGTAGCAACTGTTTTATATTCATTTTGTTTCTTCACTAACAAAGATTCTCTTGTTACACTCAAGCATAATAAAGAAAATAGCCCAGTACATAGAAGAAGTTATGGAGGACTCAAAAGATAAAGTCCAGGAAAATCTTCTGGCCAATGGAGGTAGGTGCTGTGAATGTAGGTTTTTTAATGCATTGATGCTGCTTTTGTTTGCTTCAGAATATGAACCTGTGGGGTTGAAACACTCACTCACGCATTAGAAAGGACAACCATCAGCAACATTTTTTAAGAACATACCTAGCCTGCTCCCATTTTTCTCAAAGTTAGCACAAGCTTTATTCAGCACCAGCTTTGCTTTCAGGAGTGTGTTCAGTGTCTAGTACTGAACTAGTTTCTAACACTAGGGTTGGGCAGTGAAGAGGAAAGAGAATCATAGAATCACAGAATAGTTTGGGTTGGAAGGGACCTTTAAAGGTCATCTAGTCCAATCCCCCTGCAGTGAGCAGGGACATCTTCAACTAGAGCAGGTTGCTCAGAGCCCCATCCAACCTGACCTGGAATGTCTCCAGGGAAAACATTCTGGAACATGAATACATGAAAACAGCTACCACCTCTCTAGGCAACCTGGGCCAGGGTTTCACCACCCTCAGTGTGAAAAATTTCTTCCTTAGATCTAGTCAAAATCTGCCCTCTTTTAGTTTAAAACCATTACCCCTTGTCCTATTGCTACAGGCCCCGCTAAAAAGTCTGTCCCCATCTTTCTTAGAAGCCCCCTTGAAGTACTGGAAGGCTGCAAGAAGGTCTCCCCGGAGCCTTCTCTTCTCCAGGCTGAACAACCCCAACTCTCTCATCCTGTCCTCACAGCAGAGGTGTTCCATCCCTCTGATCATTTTTGAGGCCTCCTCTGGACCCGCTCCAACAGGTCCAGGAGACATCCTTCTCCACTCCTAAAATGACCTAGTGCCTTTCTGTGCTCTTTAGGGGCTTTATCACTTACAGGCGGCTAAATCTCATTCTGTATGCCTACATGACACCTGTCAGTGATCTGTTAGTGATTTGCCATCCCTCCTACAGTGCTGGGATAGATCATGTTGTTAACTGTGGATTTTTGACATCACAGGTAGACGTGTGAGGCAACAGCTCCAAAATGTGGAGCTGGGGCTGCACTCAAAAGGTTGTGTCAGGGGCGGGACGTGCACCTCCTACTCCTGTTAGGAGGAAATGCCCTTCAGTAGTGTGCTGCCCTGGCTGGCAGCAGTTGTGTAGCAGAGGAGAGCAGGCAGTGATGGCGGGGGCACTTCTGACATGACAGAAGGGAGCCTACTACCTTACCATATGCTCCCCTGCAGCATCTCTCAGTAGTCAATAGGATGTTTTTATAACCTCCATGAGATAATTTCCCCCCTTTATTATCTGGTACAGTACTCAAGGCCCTAAAGAGAGCCTGTGTCAAGGACAAAATTAACATTTAGGAACTGATGGCTTCTAGATCTCTGCATATTTTGTTTCAGAGCAAATTGCTCCCCAACTATCCTGGAAAAGTACAGTAAAGTTGGATGTGTTACACATGCTACTTACAAGCTTGTCAAGTGACGCTGTCAGACAAACTGTCAGACAACTGTCAGACAACTGTCAGACAAATAAACTAACCATGCACATTGCATCACCCTTTGACTGTCTGCAGTGTTGTACTTCAGATCTGTATGAGTGAAGGATGGGGAGGAAGTTCTTTTAGAAATGTCCTTCTTGCATGAAATAAGACTGACATTTGATGAGTGCAACCGCTTGACGAGTACCATAATCCCACTTATTGTGTTTCAGGGCTAAAGGATAAAATGAAATGTCTGAAAAGTATGTTGAGGATTGATGATTGCGGTGATGTTACAAGCATGGATTTGTGTGTATTAGTGCTAGAGACAAGTCTTGGTCTGGTTGTAGAGATACAGTGATCAGGTTACGATGGATTTCTCAAGTAAAAACCTCGTAGCTTGATCACGATATCTCTATGACTTGAGAAACAACAGGTTTCACTTATTTCCCTTGTTTCCTCTTTTTACACCATTTTCCTTTTCTATCAGCTCTGCATGTGTCGTAATAGTAGGATGTGGAATTACTTCTATGTGTTACTCATTTCTGTCCTCTGTTTGGATTTGCTCATACAAACAAATCATGCTATACTAAGACATTAACCTTTCCAAGATTATTGACTGCATCTTAAAAAATTCAGTCAGCTTTAGTATGATGTGAGGACTCCCCTAATACATTCCACTGTCATTCTTCATAAACAGCAGCAACTTTGCAGTACAAATTCTTCCTCCTCCCCTTTCTGGTTAGCAAAAGGTCCTTAAAGTTGAAGACTTGCTTGAGGTCATGAAATCAGAAACAAAATTATAAGATACAATTTCTTGCTACATGGTCCTGTTTCAGACTATTAGACCATCCCAACTCAAGTTTTGTTTTAAGTTATACTATGCAAGTTTTCTGATTTTAGCTCAGTTGTATATAATCCCAACAGCAGTTTGGTCCACGAACTGATGAAGATGGTGGCTGTGTGTCTAACAATTATTTGGTTAGATTTGTGTGAAGAAAAATGCAAAGTGCTAGAAAATGCAGCACTTTTAGTTAAGTGAACATACACATTACTTTCCAGTGGGCAACAGTCAGAAGCAGCCATGTGGAGATGTCTGTCTTATAGAGGGAAATACGTGTTTGTGTAATAAGGGGAATTTTAGTATATCACCACAGCAGGAAATGCTTTCTTGCTCATGACAGAATAAAAAATGTGAAATGTAAGTAAAAGCTTTTCTTCAAAGATTCAGACCAAATTCTCTTCCACTTATAGAAATAATATACTCAAATGAATTTTAAAGTTTGATAAGTGGTGGAACAACTCCATTCTTTATAATGAGCTGAAAACAAAGAAAAATGGGAAGTGTAACAATTTTGAAGAATTGTGTTTTGAAGGGAAAGTATTTAACATTGCCTCTTAGACCTGGGTGAGTAAATCAGAGTTACAAGAGATTTAGGCTGTGGGGTTCCGGGGCAGCTGTGAGCATGTTCGGGTAGGTAGGAAGCATCTCTGCTGCATGGGCAGCTGTGTGAAGTCTTCTAGAAGTGACTTGACAGGTTCCATAAATGAGGGGTGCCATTCCAGGACCATCAGGGTGCTTGGACAGCTTGGCATTTTAAGCTCAGTTCTGCTAGCGTGTTCACAGCAGTTTGTGCCATCCCCAAGATCAGGCTGCTGAACTAAACCTCACCCGTGCCAGAGCACTGCTCAGGAGTGAACTTGGAAAATGGGCTGAGAACTCCTGCGTGTGCTTAACTGCTGAGATTCAGGAAATGCGAGGACAGAAAGGGCATGTGTAGGTCTTGGGGAACTGTCCTATCTCCTCAGCTACATGTAGGTCAGAGCCTGCGAATACACCGTTCCTCCGCACAGCCCTGTAATACCATGCTCTTTGCAGGTTTCATTCCCATTGAATTTAGCAAAGCCTCAGCAAGAAAGCTTGGAACAGAAGCTGCAGGACCTCGTGTTGCGTAGCCCGTGCTGAAAATGCTCCATGAATTTTATTGCTCAAGTATTTTTGGCCTCCCTGCCTTCCCCCCAGAGGCCCTGAGGACCAAGGCCACGCAGGAGCTGTGCGATAGCTCTCCCTGCCTTCTGCAGTTTTGCCCCCTTCCCACACGCTCCCTGTGCAGGAGAATTTGCTGATTCCTGATCAGACCTTAGCAGGAAGGGTTGGATATCTTTGACTTGCGGCTCCTGTCCATTGGATGTGTGGGAGATTTACGCAGCTGCGGTTTTAGAAGGAGGGGGAGAACACTGTCCTGCCAGTGCTCTCCGCCTCTGACGGAGTTTACCCTTTGCTAAGAAGCCTGTTTCCTCCTAACAGAAGACTTTCCATGCTTTGGAAATCTAATAGGGTAAGCTGACTCTGTTATGGGGTGAGAGAAGCCTGTGGAAGGGATAGTGCTCTCCTGCCAAGCGTATTCGGTATCACACAAAAGACAGGGTAGTACCCTCAGCCTGGTACTATGGCAATTACAGAACCTTTCACATTCCTTCTCCTGCATCTCGGTTCATAAAGTTTTCCCCACACCCCGGAAGCCCAGCCCACAAGAAATTGTGCTCAAACCTCGCTGTGGGACTGAATTAACTCTCTTCACAAGGTAGTGAAGAACACTGAGCAGCCCCAGCATGCCCCTCCTTTTCCTTGGCACCTTGAGCTTGTCTTGCTCATCTCCCCAGGGCAGCTTCCCAGATACTCTCCTGGTCCGGAAGAAAGCCCACCCAGCAGGTGACACTGCCTCTGGCTTGTTTAGGCATTAAGACCCTGCCTTCCTCTAGTCTTCCTAACCTGCTTGTTGTGAGTTTATCCTATCCCATAAAGTTGCCCAAAACCACTACGTAGAAGTGTGTTTGACACCCTAAGGACTCTCAGGACTCAGCTTAGGCAAAGAGCTGTCTGATTTCATGAGCTGCTAGGGGAGAATTCTTTACTTGGTACCATAATGTACCAAGTCTTAACGTTTTCTGATGTTAAGGAGCCTTGGTCTTCAGAGTGCAACAGCATGATCCCGTTCTAGGAGCCAGGTGTCATATGTGTCATCTCCCCTCAATTCTGGGAAAAAGCCAGGGCTCCCCATGGTCCAAGGGTGCCTTGTTTTGGGGGCTGCACACACACAAGGCCTTGCTGTGAATTTCTGTCACGGGGTGCTGTGACTGGGTTTATCCACTCGGAGAAACACCGCATGGCTTTGTGCGAGATGGGGCACTCTGTGTGCAGGCAGTGGGGAATTCCGCATCACACCTGAGCTGGTGTGATTTCTAGTGAGTGAATCACAGAGCAGTGACGTCAGCTACACTCTTAATGTCTTTGATCAAACTCTCAATCACTTGAGTATTACTGCTGGTCCTGGGCACAAAGTACTTTTCTGATAGCTCTTGCTAGGATTAAATTCAGGCATATTGCAGTCATCAAGAGGGAGGTATGTTACATGAAGCTGTTTCTGCTGTGAGGAAGAATGGCTGCATGTTGCTGTGTCCTGCTGATACAGCTAATTTTACAATAACACGTGTTCTATGCTGTTAGCTGTAACGCAGAAAATATTTCTGGTTCAACTTCTAAGTTTGCGGTTGTTTAGAAAGGTGATTAGATTGGGCATATGATCTCTGTGGATTTGATCTAGATCAAATTTCTGTGAGGATTCAGAGGTGGGCTTCTGGTTCCCTCCCATCTCTAATGTCAGTCAAAGTTACACCTAGGCTATAGCTGGGGACTACAACCCAAACTTTCACCTGCCACCTGGTAAGCTGTCTGCTTTAATGCATCTCTTTGCATTTTCAGTTGACCTAATTAGCTACCTGACACGGTTTGAGTGGGACATGGCCAAGTATCCCATAAAGCAGCCACTGAAGAGTATATCAGAAGCATTAGCAAAGGTAAATTGTACTCCAGATTTTAAGATGTCAGCATGGGGAAGCATGTCTTTTGGCAGTTTTTGGTCCCTCCTCTCATGGCAGTCAATGAGAGCTTTGCCTTTGGTTTGGGCAGGAACAGGCTCAGAAGCCCACACTCTGTACTGAAGCATTATTATTTTAATTTCTACTGTAATAATAGTGATATATATATGTTTAAACCTATCCAGTCTGCAAGTATATGGCACGTCATCATATTTACTAGAGTACATTGACATGCTTTCTGCACTTTAATCCCCTTCATTGTAATATTTTATTGCCATAGTGTTCTCCATTGTCGAGTTCTTCTGTGAAATTGTTGGCCTGACATTAAATCAAACACTTTGCAGGCTGGATGAATTATTTACACTGCCGGTCTGTTCAGGAGGATGTGATGTGGTGTTCAATGTAGATAACAAATGAAGCCTTGAACTTGCTCCTTAGGTACAGCTGTCGCGCACACAGCGACAGCTAACCGAATCCTCCTTTCTGCAGAGGCCTTTGCCACAGGGATGCTCCGGCACTGGCTCCCTCTTGGCCACCATCAGCTGGTTTTAGGAGCGGCGCCAGCTGAGTCCTTACGCTGCAGAGGTAGTGGGAGGGGGGTGAGGACAACACCTCAGGCACCGAGTTGACTCCCTTTTTTTACTTCATTTTAGCAAGTGACTCAAATAGAAACAGACCTAAAGACCCGATCAGCTGCATACAACAACATTAAAGGAAATCTGCAGAGCCTGGAGAAAAAAACTATGTAAGTATATAGCACATGCCTGTTTGCACCTGAACGCTGCACGGCTGAACTGAGGACGGTGTGTGCCCACACCCATTGCTCTGCAGTGGACCGTGTGTGTCTTCTGGTGGGAGCAAATTTTTCTGGCTTTGGGGGCTGCTGAGGGGAGCCCCAAAAACTAGGGGGGAGCTGGTGCAATCATCGTGTTTCAAAATCAGCTTGGAGAGACTGCAGTTCCTAGTAGGATTTTATTGGCAGCATGAGCAGACAGTCTTGGAAAGAGTCAAAACGAAATGCACTGTATTGTTCTGATGAGATTTCAGGGGGTCAGAAATTAGATGAGCTGGGTCAGCTGGTGGATTCCTTTGCACAGCAGAGTTCGTTTCCTATGTTCTGAACAGCATTTGCAGAGCTCCCATGGGAAATAGCTCTGTGTTGCTTGTTCCCACGCCTCACCAGCATCCCGCTTACATTTTTCTTTTCTTTGTTTCATTCTGTTGGTCCAGGTAATGCTCTGAAAGGGCTTCCCAAATGTCCTCTCTCTTGTCCTCAACAGCTTCATATGGTCTTTACCTATGTCAGTGCTGATAGCTGGACTTTTTTCCAGGGTATCACTGGGGACAATAGTAAATTCCAGTAAGTAGTACATTTAGAGCAACTTAGATGATACTGTGCAAGCCCTTGCCCAACACATGCTCATATGTGCCACTCTTTCGTACTCAGGCCCCTTGCTCTGGGCACAGGACACAGGTCCTTGCCTTCCTGGCACTGCAGCCAAGCTGGCAGCCTGCCTAGAAACCAGCCTTTACCCAAGGAAGATACTCACACGGGCTCAAACCAAACCCCAGGGTGGTTGGAATTTTGTTCTCAATGTGGAGCTAAAATAAGCATGCCTGGCACCAACTCCACTGAACCCAACCAGAAACCACAGAAAAAGTACTTTCAAGTGGTACTTCAGAATGACTGTCAAAAAAACGCTGCCCTTCATGGAGACATGCTCAACATGGGGACTGCAATGCCCACGAGGGTCAGCAGAGCCATATCACAGTTACATCTTGCCCTCCTTCTGCTGAGCTCCTGTATCCATGCCTCACCACCGCCAGCCCACACCACTGGAAGCCTCTGCTTCCAGCTTGGTATAGTCACATTATAGCCATGGTGTTAGAAACATTTATTTGTCTCAGGCCACACGCATGTGGATAGTCACGGGCGGGAGGGACAAGGAGACATTAGGTCCCATTTCCCTTTTCTTGGCACCATTTGTATTCCCAGCCCACTCCTGCAGCATCTCTCCAGCTCCCACATCAGCTTTAAGTACCTGGAGAGAGGCAGAAGTTCTGTGTGGGGAACATGAGCAGTCCCAGGCCTCCAGCAAGGTGATGAGGGAGAAGAACAGAGACCTTGTGGTCCTATCTTCCTCTCACCATCCTGTCCACCTTTAAATGCTGGCATCTCTGGTGTCTACCAGTGCCAGCTAGCTTGGGTTGAACAAACATCTAATAAGATGTTATGGGCCAATTAATTAATGCTTAGACTGGCACAGCGAACCTCAAGCTAAAAACTACTGATTCTTCTTCATTCCTGCCCGGTGGCAGGGAGGGCAGCTGCTCTCTTCCCATACACACCTAGAGCCTACCAGCCATGGCCGGCCAGCCCCAGCCATCTACGCTTCCTAGGTGTGCAGCACTAGTGGGACTTAATGGGACCAAGTGGGCTTAGACTGTGAAGAGAGCCCCTCCTGCAGGGCCCACCTGCGCATGAGACTGTCCTTCAGCTGGAGGTGTGCTCGTCCACGGCAGTCCAGGTATGCCAGGGTTGCTTTGATGGCTTAGGTCCGTACTAACATTGCTTACTGTGACTGAAGCGTGGTCACACAGGCAGCTCAGCAGGCAGCCTTGAGAAGGCAGGTGCCTTCTGCAAGATGTGGCAATGACTGAGAGAAGGGTGGTAACTTCAGGTGTGCCCTTTGCAAGAATCTACACCCTTACTGTAGAAACAGTAACAGCAGAATGGTGTAATTTCACTTAGAGAAAGGGTATAAACTAGCCTAGTGCTAGTCACTAATACTCTGCCATTAGTATTAATTGCTTTTTTATTATTTTTGGTTGCAGTAAAATAACTCAATGGCTATTTTAGAAGTGTAGACGTGTCCTTTAGCCACCTTCTTCCTGGTCTTCTTCTACCCCAGTATACACTATTACCAGCTATACCAACAGCCCAATACCTCCAGTGAGCTGCTGCTGGGTTCCTGCTAATGTTTTTTTTCTTTGTCTTCTTCACCGTAGGGGGAATCTGCTGACTCGGACCCTAGCAGACATCGTGCATAAAGAAGACTTTGTTCTGAATTCCGAGTATCTTATCACGCTGCTTGTCGTGGTGCCAAAGTAAGGCAATAGTGGGTGCACACGCGCTCAGTGTGGTATTGTTTCAGGCCTAAGCACCGGATCCAGGCAATACTGGGTGTTGGGGCGGCTCATCTGCATCCTGGCGGGGGCATGGCTGGAGCCGTCAGCAAAGAGAAAAAACAGTTTCTGCCAAGGGTGGTGCCAGCACTAAAGAAAGAGACAAAGACTGCTCTGAACTTGGAGCAGGACTGAAACGGGATGTAAGTTTTTAACTGCTACGGAGTGGGTTCTCAAACAGCCCCTTGGTAGGAATAGTAGGAGTTAAAAAAAAAGAGAAACACAGATTCTCACTGGAGCTTAGCCAGTTTATGAAGGGAATTAGACCTGTCAAACGCACAAAGCCACTGCTGGTTGTGTATTTGTAAGTGCCTGCACGTAGGATGGCTGCCATCGCCATCAGTTGTGAAGTTACATGAGGTCCTTCTCTCTAGAAGCCTACACAAAACTTTTCCTCCCTGTATAACCCTGTCCCAACACACATCCAGTACCATCACTCTTCTGTCTGTGAAAACCATGTCACAAACAACTACCTGATCTAAGTTTGCTGCGTTTATTATCTGCACATTCTTTCAGACTCCCCCTATAAACAGAGTTCTCGCTTTGCAAACTCTTACCATCCCTTGGCCCCTTTCTCCCAGTGCTGGCACCTGCCATGCTTGCAGTGTAGCACCAGATCAGCTCTGGGACTGCACGTAGCAGATGTACCTCGCTTACCCATCCATCAGGGGCAGCTCGTGCAGGGGTCCTGGAGCACGGGACACTGTGTGGCAGCCTGGAAAAATGTGCCAAAAGCCATGTTCTTCCCACCGTCAGCTTCCTCCTCTGGGCTTTTCCTCATGCCAAGCCCCAAAGGGAGGATTGAGGGTGCAGTGTTGAGGGAAAGATCTCCCTAGCTGGTGACTAGGAGAGGAAAGGGTAGGAGAGGCTTAATGTATCTTAATCACATAACCCAGAACAAAGAGCTCCAGCCCTTCTACACTAAGCCATTAGCTCAATTAACTGTATTTATCAATACATTTGCTTTCTAATATATAGTATTTATTTACTGTGCTTTTTTGTGTGTTGCTCAAAGGTCAAGCTATGTTCAGTGGCAGAAGACCTATGAATCCCTCTCTGATATGGTAGTGCCTCGCTCCACCAAGTAAGTGAAATTCCAGATTGAGGTCCCTGTATGTTTAAGAGATCCCTGCTATATTTCAGCCCCTCACATTGCTGGATACTGGAAGGAATCACTTGTCTAATGCATGTTAACATAGATTTGCCCAATCTTATTCTGAAATCACAAATGACTCTGTTGAAGGGAAGTGCAGATGAAAGAAAAAAAAATCATCACTGTTTTTTTACAATTGGCTTCTTGTTCCCTTTTCCAGTAAGTAGTTCTTTCTACTTTCAACCATGGCCTTTGCTTTTTGTGTAAAACAATTTGTCACAGCACTCCCGGCATAATTCAGACACATGCAATCACATAGAACTTTAATGAAAACTACTTTTTACAAAGATCAAATGCTCTCTTTGCATCTTTAATTGCTTCCTGCTGTAGAATAGGATAATTCAAGGATACTTTCATTTGCATTAGCCAATGTCGTATTATCTTCTCTTTTCACCTGGAGTAAAAAATCCTTCCTAGGAGTTAAATATTCCACTGCTCAGCTCCTGCAGACCATGAGGTCCAAGTCAGGGCACAAGAGGTGACAGTGCTATTATCTGAAATGGAGGCAGCAGAAAGCCCAGAGAAAGAAGCAAGCTGTTTGCTACTGCCTGTCTCAAAAACACAAGTGCATGGAAAATGGGCGAACATTACCAGGAAACACAGAGAAATCAGGCAGGCAGAACATCTGTGTTTGGGTTCAGGAACATAACTCATGGGAGTTTTACATTGGAGATAGTGTAGCTGGTGCTAGTGAAGTCTTTGTTCCCTATTTCAGTCACAGCAGTTCTTGAAAAGCAGAGTGTTGTTCAGTATCAGAAATGAAAAAAAGAACTGCAAAAGAGGAAGGTAAAGAAAGCATGAGGGATTTGCCGTGTCAAACCACAGCAGTGAATTTCCCTCCCACAGGATGATTGCTGAGGATGCAGAGGGAGGACTCTTCACCGTGACCCTATTTAGAAAAGTGATGGATGACTTCAAGGCTAAAGCCAGGGAGAACAGGTAAGAAGCACGGATGGCGAGGCAGGGCAGGCTAGCAAACAAGATGATGAGGGTAAGGCGAGGCTTGTTCTGTGTGCAGTACAGCTGAATCCACCAGTGGTTTTTAGGACAACATTACTGTTTGCGCTGCTGCTGGCCCTAAAAGCCACTGAGAAGGCAGGGTGTGAAGGACCTGTGGCAGCAGATAGAGTGATCCTATTTAAGCCCCAATCTACAGATCCTGGAGTTGTCTTTCCTGCTGTCATGCTACTGACAGCAGGAAGCTGGCTTTCTGGGGGTGACTTCAACTCCCACCCTCCACAAACTTTAACTGGTTAAATGGCTAGCAACTTTGAAACATCCAGTACCTGCTTCTCCAGAGGCAAAATAAATGACTGCGCATATTGCTTCGACTACGGCTTATGAGAGCAAATGTCATTCAATTGTAGGTTCATGGTTCGAGAATTTTATTTTGATGAGAAAGAACTGAAATGTGAAAAGGAAGAGCTGATGAAATTAGCTTCCGATAAGAAACAACAATATGTAAGTAGCACATCAAGTTGATGGCCCACATAATGACAGCCTTTGCTACTGGCATGCCTAAGCACCTCTCACTCAGAAATGGCTTTATGGTTCCAACAGACTCCTCTGAGCTCCATTTAGCCCAGAAAACTGAGGCAGAGGACAGATAACACAATTTGCGCAATGTCACTCCAGTTTCTGATACGCTGGGAGCCACTGACAGGCTGCCTGAGAATTCTCTCAGCAGCCTGTGACGGCTTCCGTGGTGGTAGCTACGGAGCTGCTTCACACAGCGAGGGGATCACAACACTGTTGTGTCTGTCCTCACAGGGCCCGTTGCTGCGCTGGCTGAAAGTGAACTTCAGTGAAGCATTTGTGGCTTGGATTCACGTGAAAGCCTTGCGAGTTTTTGTTGAATCTGTCCTGAGGTAAGTGGGTAAACATGCAGCGCCGGCAGAGATTCCTGTTAGAAGTCAAAAAGTACAGGTCTCTTCCTGGGGCAGTTCCTTCATGGGAGGGAACGACCCTTACACACCACACTCCAGAAGCTCATAGGAGACAGTACAGGTGACGTACAAAGTTGATGAAAAGCAGGTCTCTGGGGACACTTACAGAGACGTGGAAAACAGAAAGACACTGTTTAGTTGACTTTCAGCTTCAAAAAGAAAATGCTTTCAGATAAGGAGGCAGCACAAGGCCACTGAGCCCGTGCTCTGCAGTGCACAAGCAGCCGGCGTGCCAGGAGACCGAAGGGGACCAAGGGCAGGAGTGAAAAGCTGTGCCCCTTCCCGGGAGATGATCGTGTCTGTTGATGTGTTTCAAGGTATGGCCTCCCAGTGAATTTCCAAGCAATGCTGCTGCAGCCAAATAGGAAGTCTGTAAAACGCCTGAGAGATATCCTAAATGTGGTCTTCAAACACCTGGATGAAGTTGCAGCAGCAAGTATAATGGAGGTATGTATTTGGACTGCAAGTGTACATGCTGTAGCTTGTCTCAGTTTAGTCAAATGAATACTTTCACAGTCCAAGGGCTAGAGCAAGCGTCTCCTCACATCTTGCAATGCCCTAGTCCCTGGATGCAGCCCTAATCCCTGGTGGTTACAGACTGGATCAGGTAGGCTAGGTAGATTAGCAGGTAGGCTCAGATTATTATGGAGATGGTTTAGAGATGGCTTACATTTTCTGTTGAAGCAGCTGATGTTTACAGCTACCGGACTGAAATAGGCCTGCTCCATTATGTCAGTTCCTCTAGGTAAAAAGCTTCAAGTTTTCTGTAAACGTTCAGATCAACATAAGCAAGAAAAACGAATTCAGAACTAAATGTTAGGACTGTGACACCTCCGTCCCCTGTAAAAGGCTGTCGTTGACTCAATACCTCAATCTAGGACTTCAGCGAACAGCAGTATTTGCTTTCTCCCTCCCCATATCTTGACTGCACAAACCATTTAGGATAAGCCAGTAGGTGTTAAAACAGTCTAAAACCAGCAAGCGTAAGATTCCAAGTGCATGGAGGGAGCAGCTGCTCTAGAGCACACAAAACTGCTACACACATGTTCATAAAGTTGCAACCACGCATGAATTCTCAATACTAGCTGCATTAGGCAGCCTGAAAACACCAAGCAAACACCAGATTCTCAGTGGTGAATTCCCAATCTTAAGCACAGTAAATACAAAACTCCATTCCACCTGTGGAAGAGGAGCACAAAAGCAACCCACTGTAGCTCAGAACTGCACAAGTTTGTTTAGTGGTACTTAAAGTCGTATCGTTTCCTTTTGCAGCCTGGCATGGACATCCCTGGTTTACAACTGAGTAATCAAGAATATTACCCTTACGTCTATTTCAAGATTGACCTCAGTCTTCTCGACTGCAGTTAAAACAAACACTGCTCAAGCTTTACCTGTTCACTTTCAAGACCCTGTTACAGTAAAACAATCTTTAGCTACTGAAAGCAAAATTAAAATGCAGGTGCTGTAGCAGGATAATTGCATAAGAACTTCCTACCACTTGCAGTAATTTTTACAGTGACTTCAATATAATATCTCTTGTTCATAGTTTTACAAAAACATGTTTCAGAGGCAGGAGGTTCTATGGTAGTATTTATTTTTTTTTTTTGGTAAATTACAAAGATGGAGTATCTATTGGACGTGAAATAAAACAACTGAAAATGTATGGTGGCTAATAGAGCTACTAGGTGTGTACAGTCCTGTTCTTCTAACAAAGCAAACTTAAAAAAAAAAAAACAGAACAGAAAGAAAATATCAGAGCAAAACCCAAAGTGTTTTGTGGTTTTTTCTTTTAATTTAAGAAAAGCCTTCTTTTCCTAAGAAATTGCTGTGGAATTTAGTGTAGCATGACTTCTAGTCCCAAGTACTTATCAAGACGTTTCAGTTAGAACAGCTCCATTAGATCTCATGTGCTGGGATGACAGAGCTGGAGCCCATTTCCTGCCCCAAATCAGCAGTCACATTACTGCCGGCGACCAGTGGTTCTTGCACTGCCTTTCACAGAGTCGAGGTATGGGTGATCTCTTACAGACAAATACCATATTAAGTTATCTCCTTGAAAGGAGGTGAAACTTTTTCAGTTCTTTCATCCTTACTTATAAACAAGCTGACTATGTCTATGACCACACCTATACACAAGACATGGAGATCAACAAAATAAAATAGTATTTTTTATTAAAAAAAGCAGCAGTAACCATCCCTATTCCCAGTCCTGATTGCCCTTCCAAGGAAATAGCAATTTCAAATCAAAACAATGCCAGATGGGAAGTGAAGAAATATTATCCCATTTGCTGCAGACAGCACCATGGTGTTTTTCTGTTAGCACTTGCATATCCTCATGGGGATTAGCTTCACTGCTAATCCTGGGGAAAAGACCAACAGCTCCCAGTGTCTCCCATTGCAGCAGAAACCCCACTTCAATTGTATTAATGATCTTACAAAGTCTGGCACAAAGAAAAGAGAAAGCCCCTGAGAAGGAATAGGAAAAGGAAGACTACAGAGTATTTAAACTAAGATTGTCCATCTACTCAGGCTTTAGGCCAAACTGTCAAGATCGTTCACAGTAATGGGGTGGTTTAGGACTCCCCTCTCCACCATCCTCTGTTCTACAGTTCGTTTTTCAAGAGTCAGGATAAAAACAGGATAGCTTTTATCATGTACACCTTTGTTACTCTATACAAGACTAACACTGTGTGTCAAAAATACCTTGTTTTATTCTTTAATGAAACAGAAGCTGACCAGGTTCCACCTCCATGAAAAAAACACAAAAAAAATCACATTTAGAATTGGTTACACTAACAGCCTCCAGTAACACTCAAACAGCACACTATCCACAAAATAAAACCCAAGATGTTCCAAAGAAATATCCATGTTGTCCTCAAAATATTTGTTACACAGAATACAATCAAGTTTACTGGTTATGACAATTCATAGAATTTCTGCAATGTTGTCTTGAGGTGCGTACAGTTCACTGCTGCAGTGCATCAAATAGCACAGCGTGTCACGTGCTATTTCTCCATAAAAAGGCCACTGGAATATCCATTTGATTGTGAACCAGGTTGCAAACTGCTGCACAAATTCTCCCAAGAAAATAAGTTTCCTGAAGATCTCACAGCTCATCTTTATTCCAGTCATCCAGATCCACATCACTGAGATCAATATCATCTTCAACCGGAAGCTGTGAGAACGGGAAGATTTTGAGCACATGTTTAGAAGCGCTTAACACTGGGACATCACTGACTTTGAAAGATGCTTACTTCATCCTGAGAGTAAAGCTCCTGCCTGTCATCTTTGATTCATAAAAACTCAAAGCTTATTAAGCACAGGACAAGCGATCACAGTTTACACTAGAATGTTGTTTTCTGCTAATAAAAATACCCCAGATAAAGGCAAATACAGATAAACTATGTAACAAAGCTACTACCACATTCTACATTTTAATACCATCTGAAGTAGATCAAAGGATTGTACTAACTTTGTTTTTTTTAAAGCAAATGTTGAACCTCAAGAACACACTTATTCACTGTGTTATTACGCAGGCTTTACCTTACAAACTTTCTGACAGTAAGACTTTGATGGTAAGGTCAGCATATTGCAGAGCCCAAGTCTCCACAAAGAGTCAGGTCTTGAATGCATACACTACCACCTCCCTTACTCAGCACGGGTAGTAACACATTCTCCAGCCCAAAGGGATTCAACTTTCATATTACATCCTTACCACTGTACAGGAGTGCCTGTCCACAATGTCAGACAATGAATCTGGTGTTTGATCTGGCAGATGGATTTAGATAATGGGAAAATCAAACACAACTTGCCACAATCTTTGAAAAACAAGAATTTTCACATTGCCAGTTCTAAGTTACTCTGTCCAGTCACTTCTGATGCTAGCAAATCACCTTTAGAGATGAAGCACCTCTTACCTCACCATCTTTGCCATCCCAGGGTTCAACTGAATGAATTTTAGGGAAAGCTCCACCACCCACTGGTGCTGTAGAGCCACGACCAACAGATAGTTCCCTGAGGAAAAAAACCCAACAAGTTAAATTTAAGAAATTTCTCCAGTCTCCATCCACGTGGAACAGTGCCTGCTTCAGATAAAGGGAAGTTAACTTTGAAATCTGCTTGCATCTCTTGAAACAAATCTAAACTGTCCAGAAGGAATAGCCTTTCAAATTAAGAAGCAGAAAGTGAAAGAGCCCTTAAAGCAGCATTACAAATTGACAATTGGATCCAAAGAGACAAATTATGTGAGCTACACTGCTTCATGTGTCAGCAGTGCCCCTTGTAACACTCATGAACAAATACAGCCCATTTAACATTATGTTGTATATCACTTGAGACAACTCCAAGAGAAACCTGTAATTCTAGTTTTGGAAGTCACCTGCAACTATTACTTGAAATCACTAGTGATCATTTTTAGCGGACTCTAAGCCTCCACAGATTACAATGGGTATGAAGTAACCAGCTTTTGCTTTGAGATACCCCATCTTGCACTTGCTAGTTAGGCTTGCTCAAAAAGCGTAACATGAAAATCCTGAAGAGCTAATCCCTTGGCATACTTTCAGAGGCAAGTAAGACTGAATAAGCATTCCTCCCTAGGTGGAGTCTACAATTTTTATGCTTTTTAATGCTGTTAGTGCTGATTTCCATATTTTTGTCAACACTTTTGAGACCACTTACTAAGATTACAAAAGCTGCACACAGCAAGCTGAGCTAACAGCCAGCTACACCAACTGTGATTGTACTGCTTTTCTCTAGGTAGCACAGCTGAGCTGAAGTGTCAAGAGAGTATTCCAGCAGGTATTGCTCTGTACTAAGACAATACCAAACCAATTATCTAATGCAATACAAGCTGTTAAGTTGGTCATTATGTCCTGGAAGGACCATCCACCCTCACCAGGAGAGGCTTGACTAAAATGGATTTTATAGACTAAAAAGAATTTGCCATGTCTGAGAAAAGGAGATTATTTCTCTCACATGCGTTAGCACAGACTGTCTGGTATTACTCTTCTTGCATCCAAATCCTAAGTTTTACTTGATATTCTGAGAACCGTCCCTTTTTGGCATCAAGAAGAAAGTGATCACTTACACAAGTAAGAGAATAACTGCTCCCATTAATCCAGCAGGAACAGGGTTCAGTTAATGTGTTTCTTATGGCAAGGTGGGGAAAGTCTTGTATTTTCTTTTGCAATTCTGACTGTTCTCTGCCATTCTCCAAGCAAGGACAAGGAGCTAATGTGGCTAATGTAAGCTCTCAAAGGCTCTTACACACCTTATCGCAGCAGATGTTTTACCCAGAAGGAGAGTTCCCACTTCACTTTGACCATGCTTAAGTAGCTGTTTAAGTGTAGCTGCTCTGTTTCAGTGGTGCTACAGCCCTCTGTCCTCCTCCTCGTTTCTTTTTCCCATTCAATTCCTCTCAGCGCTGGCTCTTGCTCAGCTACCCGAAAGGCAGTTTCAGAGAACTTGATCTGAGCAGAGAGCTACTAAGTTTTAGAATGGATTGCTTCAGCTCCCCCAATAAGTTTATCAGATGCCAGGGAAACGGGGAAGGGAAAGACAGGACCAGACTGAACCAGAAACATGAACAGCAACATACAGAACCTCAAGAACCTCAGCAGCAACTATTTAGATTCACAAACTGGGAACTTCCCAATTACTAATCAGAATGCACAGCTGAATTAAATAGTACTGAATTAAATAGATACTGCCTGACCAACCTAGTGGCCTTCTATGATGGTGCGACTTCGACATGGTCCCCCACAAGATCCTTCTCTCTCAATTGGAAAGATATGGATTTGATGGGTGGACTATTCAGTGGATAAGGAATTGGTTGGACAGTCACAACCAGAGGGTAGTAGTCAATGTATCAACGTACAGATGGAGATCTGTGATGAGTGGTGTCCCTCAGGGGTCCGTATTGGGACCAGTACTGCTTAATATCTTCATCAGTGCCATAGACAGTGGGATCACATGCACCCTCAGCAAGTTTGCGATTGACATGCCTGAGGAATTGGATGCCATCCAGAGGGATCTGGACAAGCTTGAGGAATGGGCCTGTGTGAACCTCATAAGGTTCAGTAAGACCAAGTGCAGGGTCCTGCACCTGGTTTGGGGCAAGCCCCAATACCAGTACAGGCTGGGGGATGAAAGGATGGAGAGCAGCCCTGCCGAGAAGGACTTGGGGGTACTGGTGGATGAAAAGCTGGACATGAGCTGGCAATGTGCACTGGCAGCCCACAAGGCCAACCACATCCTGGGCTGCATCCAAAGCAACGTGACCAGCAGGTCAAGGGAGGGGATTCTGCCCCTCTACTCCTCTCTGGTGAGACCCCACCTGGAGTCCTGCATCCAGCTCTGGAGCCCTCAGC